TATAATTTTTTATTACTGTGCATAGCAGCATATTTTACTAGTTTTATATCTGAAGTTACATTTTTGGTGCTTGCTTACACTTCCTTTTTATCAGTTAATTTTTAAGCTAATATTCTCCAGGATCAGGAATACATTATTTTAGATAACAGCAATGTATTGATAATAAAATTATGTGAAAAAGGTGCTTTTATATCATTGTTTGGCTGTATCCTATTTTATACAATGAAACTCACTCTGTGTTTGATTTTCTTATTCACTACCTTTGTTCAAAAATTCCAAAACCGATAGTATTAAAACACTATCAATTAGTGGATTGTTTCATTTAATTGTTTTTGTTGTTGCATAAGGCATCCCCTGGCTAAGGTAAAATATTTGCAGAATTGTATTTTCTCTTTCCTAGTAACTCTATTCAGCAAAGTAACACGAGATTTAGAAGCCCACACCTAACAGAGTGATTGATTTGTCCCTGGGCTTTATTTACCATAGTACCTGCATGACACAACTGAGAAATTAGTTTACAATGAACAAAAATTATCAAATGCCCTGTATTATCTTAGGAACTCTGTCATGTAAATGTTCTAAAGAACATTAAAAAAAGTTGTATCTCCAACAGTGTATCAGTAATAAACATTTTGCTTTGAATCCTATTTTACAATATCTGGCCAATTGAATAACACAAGGATATCATCTAACAAGTAGAGGTTCAAATGGTTATACGTGGAGGTATTAACTAAAATGTTGATGATTTAGATCTACTCTGAGGGGTCTTAGAAGAAAGTCTTAGAGATCTGCCTCCAAAAGGTCATAGCTTTGAAAGTCCTATGAGGCAGTATGTTCTGACATACAGGGGAGTCTCTGGGAATTAGAATAGACTCAGTAGCAATTTTTTTTTATATATATATCATTAATATAGTATCTTTTAAATTTTCTTCTTACTTGACAAATGTCCTCAAATTGTTAATAATTTCCCCAATGCCATATAATTTGGTGTGTGTGGGGGGGGACTGGGGGAGACACACATAATGAGATTAATTATGAAACTCCTAGACCTTATGACTATCAACACCTATTTACATGATATAATGCCTTTGAATCACTATTTTACCCTGATAATTAGTTGATATTTTCCTAAAATATTAAATAAGAATGATCATCATTCAGCAGATAACAGACTTGGGATAATAACATTTTAAGTAATTTATATAAAGTGATAGAATTGTGTTTCTAGAATCATATACATGTCCAAGATGATTATTAAATCTTAGTTAAATAATGATTAGGTTACTAATTCTGGCAGATAACCTAAAATTTTTAATTCTTTCAAATTTCCATATACATATCTAGATTTACTATTGTATTTCTAATGCCTTGGTAATCAAGCATCCATACTAATTAGAAAATTAATCAGAAAAATAATTTCAAAAAGTCAAAATGGAACTTCAAATTGAAATGCTTCTAGTCTACACAAAGAACAACACTATCTTGGATTCTGTATTTACCAGTACTAGTAAGTTTCAACAATGTTTTGTTTACCTTAACACAGTCACGAAGAAGAAAATTGAAGTGGGCAGTTGATCCTTTGGGAGGGGAAATCACAGGAATAAGTTGGTTTAGGGGTACGCACTTAGCTGCTAACCAAAAGGTCTGTGGTTTGGACGTCCAGCAGTTCTTCAGGAGAAAAGGCATGTGAGCTGCTCCGCAGAGACCAGAACAGAGGAAACCCTCTGGGACACTTCTGCTCTGTCCATGTGCTGACTGTGGGTCATACTCCCCTTGATGGCATACAGTAACCATGGATTGTCATCTAGTTGATTCCAACTAACCGCACAACCCTATAGGATACAGTAGAACTGTCTCTAGGGCTTCAGAGATGGTCAGTCTTTATGGGAGCAGACAGCCTTCTCTTTTTCCTGCAGAGCAGTTGGTAGGTTTGAGCCATCAACCTTGAAGTTAGCAGCCCAATGTTTAACATATTACTCTACCAGGACTCCTCACAGTAGCAACAAAGGGGTCAAAATAAGCAGGTGGGCTTTTTAATGTCTCTAAGCAACTGTAGTCCAAACATTTTTAATGTTTCCTTCAGGCAGTATTACATTAATATTTAAACGATTTTAATGCCACAAAGGATAATGAATTTAGCTTTTCTATTTTGTAAATATGACAATTTTTCTTTTTTCCAGAAATCTACATATATGGGCCAGAGATATTACAGTCTGGGAAGTACAGTGTTTACTTGCCTAGAAATTACTAATTAGTTTTAGAATCATGTTGTAATTGTCTTCTGTCATATTTATAATTAATCTTGTGTTTTTTTCTTGCAGTTGCAAGCACCATTAGCTAATAAATAGACCTTGTTTGAATCGTTTATTTCAACTTTTGAAATCTCATTTGTACCTGTCTAACAAATAGTATAAATGTTTTGGCATTTCTGCAAAATTAAATAAATTTCCCAGTCCTAACACTGTGTTCATGAAGCCTTGTCATCTTCTACTCATCCTCATATATTAAGGAATAGTAGAATTACAATACAATTTTTAATCGCCTTGATTCATATTTATTACCATAGCTGAAAAGATAAATTAGATACAATGGAAGCATACATAAACATATTTTTTTCTTTGAGCAGAAAATATGTTTTGGAGCCTCCATATACAAGGCAATGGGTTTTTGAGAAGAATAAATGCAAGATAATTTTTAAAACAATGATTTTGTATTTCTTTGATTTAAAAGTTGGCATAGAGTCCTGGTGTGGTGCTGTAGGATATGCACTGGACTGCTACCTGCATGATCAGCAGTTCAAAGCTACCAGCCTCTCCTTGGAAATTCTATAACTGGTAGATATGAATTGAAACAAACTTGAGAGCATTAACCACAGCAACAACAATAAAGATGACATAGCTTCTAATATGCATGACACTGGGAAAATTAGAATTTCTACTAAAAACAAACAAAGCTTGACAGCATTTGAAGCTACCACAGATTTAGTAATCATAAGCAGTTGTTAAGAGCTGGACTTTTCCATTAGTACTTCCAGGTCCTTTTGGAATTCCTGATGAAGGTTGGTTCAAAAGGGTAGCCTTTCAGTACTTAGTTTCTGAAGCTAGTTTGATGTGTAAATTACTTATGCTTGTCTGTTTATGTCATTCTACTTCAGGTGGAACATCCTCAGAGGTCTAAAAAGGCCGTTTGGCACAAACTGCTCTCGAAGCAGAGGAAGAGAGCCGTGGTAGCGTGCTTCCGAATGGCCCCCTTATACAATCTGCCAAGGTGAGGATTGGTTAATGTTTCTAATAAGTCACAGGTGGTCTCCTTAATAATAAGGCACAGGAGTCTAGTCTGTAATTAAAAAGGAGTGTCCAGTAGTCAAGAGAAGGATAGAAGATCTCACTACTCTTCTCTATAAGATTTGATCTTGTTTTTCTTTGTTGGGTATTCCCAGAGAAGTGTGGTGTGAACTGTAATTGTTAAATGATTCTTAAATGCCAAAGACCTCCTTTTTACCTATGTGAGACAAGGTGCAGTAATCAGGAGCTCATTCTGTAATGTCAGACAACTTGAACCTGAATAGGCCACTTGGTTTGCTGTCTGTGTGGAATACGTCAAGTGATGGGCCCATTTTCATTGCAGTTTTCTTACTAGGTTCTACCTCATTTAATTGCTCATTGTGTGCAGTGTACTTAGAACTGTTCTTGGCACAATGAATGTTAGTTGTTGTTATTGTGATTGTACGCATTCAGGTTAAAGAATTGATATGGAATTGGTTTCTAGGAATAATGCAAATAAATTTGACAGACACACTAACTTTCTCTAAGAGGTAGAGTAGGTATGGACATTAACAGAGACGTAACCTGGTGCACTCAAGTTTGGGTTGGTGGTCTAAGTCTGGATATGCCTTAAAA